TAAAATATATATTTTAAAAACCTAATATGTAAACTTTTAGCTCAAAAACAGAAGCAAAATCATCTTTGCCACTTTCCAAATTCTTAATGTAGTTGTCACCACAAATACATCTTCTGCAGACATACCTCCAAACAACCAGACCACAATCCTGCTGATCGTGGTGATCGTAAATCTTACTCCGGTATTAAACAGAAGTTACCTACAAAGCGGATAAATCACAACACAAAGAGCCGTGTTCCAAATGTTATATGAACATAATGTGTCTGCAGAGCCAATTTAACGATGCCTTTTGGTTGACTTCTTCTTGTGCGCCTCTCTGTGCTTCTTCTTTTTCCTCTTACCACCTTCTTTGAATCCTGCTGAGAGAACAGGGGGATCCTTGCTGCTGGTGCCCCACGGTGCGCGTGGCTCGTTTTCCACGCAGGCGCACTGAGGCGCGTGCTTGGCGCTGTAGGACTTCGGGGAACAGGTGCCAGGTGGCTGCCTCCTCCAGCCGTGTTCTGCGAAGCCCTCCTCCGCGGCCACGCCGTTTACGATGAGGAAGGACTCGAACTCGCCATCCTCTTCGCCTTCTCTTTCCTCAATAATTCTGCTCGTATTGGTCTTTCTGCCGTTAGCAGCTTTGTGTGCAGTAAAAGGTGCGTCGTTGTCCAGCCCACTGTCATCGAACGCCAGGGAAGAGAAAGAATGCATGTCTTCATATGGTGCGTATCTTGGATCATATTCATAAAACCTTTCAAACACTGGATATTCACGGAAGGTCGAGAAAAAGGATCTTGCACCTCTGTTTCTCCTCCTATAGGACCTCCTTGCACTATTTAAAAGGTCCTCGAGTGAGTCGTCAAAGAAAAGACATAAAAATGAGTCCCTTTCACCAAAAATTTCTTTAAAGACATCATCTGGCTTATGGAATGTGAAGCCATATTCAAAAGAATCATCAAGATTACTTCCGACTTCGCCATTTAATCCTTCTTTGCCATATTTATCATAAATGTCCCGTTTTTCATCGTTCGATAATACCTCGTACGCTTCAGCTACTTCTTTGAATTTTCTCTCCGCTTCTTCTTGATTTTCTGGATTTTTATCAGGGTGCCATTTAAGTGCCACTTTATGATAAGCCTTCTTAATGTCCGCACATGAAGCATATCTCTGCACTCCTAGAACTTCATAGTAATCTACCATGTCTTAACGAATTGTTGGAAGGGGGTGCCCTGGGTAGTAAGAACCGGGGTTTCCTTTCTGTCCCGGCTCTGCTGGTGGTGGTGGTAGAGTGACTGCAAATAGGCACCTTTGTACATTGAAGACGATGTTCCTGCGGGTCACTAGGAGACGATAGGGTACTGATTGTGAGGCAGGCAGAGGTACACGCTTATGTCAGAGAGAGCCGCATTATGGTGTCATTCTGGGGTTGGGTAGGGACTTGACCTTCTAAATGGAGCTAGTCCAGACCATCCTGAACCCTCTGGATGATCCCCCCTATATTTCTCTGGAAGCCTCAAACAATACCTCATAAATCAGTGGAATTGTTGTTACTGGCCACAGCGTGCCACTTGCATAATGTGATCTCTAAGTTATTAGGTTACTAAGTCCTAATAACTTACTTCCCAGTGCTTGCATGTTTTGGTTTGGAAAAATGAAGAAGTCTAAAAAAACATATAATAAAAGATTTTGAAAACTGTGTATTTATGTATTCAATACATATTGAATTCCTACTTTGTGCAAGGTTCAGTTTTAGTCATTGGTAATAACTATTAAATTTTAAAAATGCCAGTTTTCATGGTGTTTACATTATCATAGAGTGTAATGAATAAATGGGAGATAATGTGATACGTGCTTTAAAAAAAAAAAAAAAAGTAGCGTGATGGCAGAAAGCTACCCTCCATTGGTTTTCCCAGGCCCCTGAAGAGATGACATTAGAGCTGTGATGACCCAGTATAATAGTTACCAGCCATGTGGATGGACATGTTGGTTTTTCCACTTTTGACCCATTCTGAATAAAGCTGGCATTCATTTGTAGTGGGAAGCCAGTTGGCGGGGAGGGGTAATGCATCAGATTTACCTTTTTTTTAAATATATGTTATTGATTTTTTACAGAGAGGAAGGGAGAGGGAGAGAGGGTTAGAAACACGGATGAGAGAAACATTGATCAGCTGCCCTCTGCATACCCCCTATTGGGCATGTGCCCGCAACCAAGATACATGCCCTTGACTGGAATTGAACCTGGGACCCTTGAGTCCGCAGGCCGAAGCTCTATCCACTGAGCCAAACCGGTTAGGGCCAGATTTACATTTTTAATGGGTCAGTGTCTGCTATGTGGAGAATCCGTTGCATGTGGGAAAGTTAGAATTAGAAAATCCAGGTAGACATTCTCTCCCTCTCCCTCGCTCCACCCTACCCTTTCATTGTCTCTAAAAATCAATTTAAAAAATATCCAGTTAGAAGCAAACTCGACCAAGTTGCTTTTCTTTGAGGACAATTTAAATTATCAATAGGCTGGGCCTGAATTAAAAAGATGTACTTTCTATTCCTGGCTCATTTTATTGCCCTAGGAAATTGCCTGTGATGATCTTTCTCTGTTTCTCCTCCTCTATATATTATTTTGTTTCATTTTCATCACACATATAAAAAACGTGTTTAAATGATACTCTAGTGACATAGAAAATGAAAGTGTACGTTTCTAGCCAATCTTTCAAGACCATTTGTCAGCTTTGAATATTTTTTACTTTTTGTTTGTATACCAGTTGACTAGAAGTATTGCAAAACTCTTTCATTTCAATTCTCTCCAGGATCTGTGCTTATACTATGTATGGTACACATGTGATTATATTTGCCTGCCATTGAAAATAAATAGCAGTAATAATAATATTGAACATAATTTGAGTACCATCTTTGGGTTAGATCCTGTAGCAAGTGTCTTACATGCAGTTTCTCATTGAACTGTCACGGCATTCCAGCAAAATAAATATTTTGTGTCCATATGAAACCTAAGCCTCTGAAAAAATAGTAATTTGCCTAAGGAAACCTAGCTCATTAGTGAAAAATCTGATATTTAAACTTGGGTTTGTCTGATTCCAAATTCTACTCTTTCCAGCTCTATCTCATTTCTGAGACCAGGATTTAAGTGTTTAGGTTCTAGCCGAAACCGGTTTGGCTCAGTGGATAGAGCATTGGTCTGTGAACTCAAGGGTCCCGGGTTCGATTCCGGTCAAGGGCATGTACATTGGTTGTGGGCACATCCCCAGTGGGAGGTGTGCAAGAGACAGCTGGTTGATGTATCTCTCTCATCGATGTTTCTAGCTCTCTATCCCTCTCCCTTCCTCTCTGTGAAAAATCAATAAAATATATTAATAAAAAAAAAGTTTAGGTTCTGGACATTGCACATTATGAGCCCTCTATGGGGGATTGAACCTGCAACCTAGGTATGTGCTCTGACTCAGAATCGAACCCTCAACTCTTTGATGTACAGGATAAAGCTACAACCAACTGAGCCACCTGGCCAGGGCTGTTGTAAGAACTTTTAAGTTTTACTGTTTTAGCAACTTTCAAATATACAATACATAATTGTCAGCTATAGTTACCATACTATACATTACATCTCCAGAACTTATTTATCTTGTAAATTCACCCATTTTGATGTCTGTCTTCTATATTCTACTAAAACTGGTCTTGTCAGGGTCTCTAGTGACTTCCGTGTTGCTGAATCCAGTAGTTGTCTTTTTGGTCTCATATTTAGCAGCACGTGGCACAGTTAAGTGCTTCCCCTCTCATAACACACTTGTTTCTTTAGCTTCCTAAATACCACATTCTTACAGCTTTCTTCCTTTCTCCTGTGCTTTTTCTCCTCACACCAAAATAATAGAGTACCTGGACTTTCTCTATACCATCTTCAGAGGTAATAATTCAGTCCCAGGACTTTAGATACCACCATGTGCTTATGACACCTTAATTGATATATCTAACCTATTCCTCCTCACCCCTCACCCCCCAAACTTAAGACTGTTTGACTTCTCCATTGGAATAGCCAATAATTATCTCAATCTTTTCTATTTCATTTAATGGCATAACCTTCCACCCACTTGCAAAAACCTGGGAATCATCCTTAATATGCTTTTTTTACTCCCTGCATTTAATCAGAACCCAGATTTGTTGGCTTTTTGACCTTCAAAAATATATCCCAAATTTCATCACTGGGAAAAATAAAGTCAAATAATAATCTCTATCTTCCCAAAGTTCATAGCAAACTAATTTAGCAATTATGTGCAGTGTAGTAGGTCTTAAAATAGAATTAAGCCCTGGTTGATATGGCTCAGTAGATAGAGTGTTGGCCTGCGCACAGGGGTCACAGGTTTGATTCCCAGTCAAGGACTTGTACCTGGGTTGCAGATTCTATTTCCGCCTGGGTCGGGCACATACAGGAAGCAACTAATCTATGTGTCTCTCTCACATCGATGTTTCTCTTTGTCTTCCTTCCACTCTCTAAAAAATCAATGGAACACATACCTCAGGTTAGGATTAATAACAATAGCAAAATAGAATTAAGTGCAGTAGCATTGAGGAGGGGCCTTCGTATCAGATGCAGTAGGGATGGGGAATTAAAATCAGGCTTCCTAGATGTTGGAGCTGATTTTTGAGAAGTTGAGTAATCGGAAACAAGCAAAGGCCATTAGCATATTTTATTGATTTTTTTACAGAGAGGAAGAGAGAGGGATAGAAAGTTAGAAACATCGATGAGAGAGAATCATCGATGAGCTGCCTCTTGCACACCCCCTACTGGGGATGTGCCCGCAACCAAGGTACATGCCCTTGACTGGAATCGAACCTGGGACCTTTCAGTCCGCAGGCTGATGCTCTATCCACTGAGCCGAACCGGTTTCGGCAAAGGTGAAATTAATTTGCATTTTTCTAAAACACCCAAATGTTGGAGATGGATAAATGTACACATGTACTGTGAGGACCTTCTAGATTCCTTCTCCCATTTCATCCTCTTTCTTTCTCCTTAGGATGCATATCGTGGTCTCGGAGAAGGTACTCCCTCCAGCCCATCCCAGACAGGAGGGTTCCAAATCGATACTTGGGCCAGCCCAGCCCCTTCACACACCCGCACCTCCTCAGACCAGGTAAGGATTTTAACCATATAACTGTGCTTTATCTAGAGCTGTGCTGTTCAATACAGGAGCCCCCAGCCACACTTGGCTATTGTATACTTACTATGTTGCTAGTGCAACTAAGAAACTAAATTTTTAAATTTTATTTTAAATAATTTAGATTTAAACTTAAATAGCTACATGTGGCTACTGGTACTCCACGGACAGCACTATCTAGAGCCATAAACACTTTATTAAGCCTTACCATTCAGAATTATCAGTGACATGTGTACTTAGGATTTTCTTAAAGAAAAGTTCTATTGCTTTCTAAGACTTAGTTTCTACAGTTGTATTCTACTAATTCCTAATGAACTACTGTGTTAAAGGTATTTTATAAAACATACTTTTATTTAAAAAAAAAGAAATACTTCATGAATTCGTGTGTTATCTTCAAAAACATGCTTTTCTTGAAAGTGTTAAATACTCATTTCAAACGTTTAACAAAAATATTCCTGTATAGATTATGCAAGATTTCCAGATCTGACCGTCACGGCTTTGAGAGGTGACAGCACTGCAAAGATGATGCAAAAATTGGTGTTTATTTGCTTCTCTCGTTTCTGTACTTGATAACAGTTGACCTCCCCAGTATTGTTTTCTGCTGTAAGATTCCAGTGTTCCTGCTAGCTATGTCATCACTATCGCTCAAATTCATGCCTAAACGTTTTTATTTTGTTTTATTAAAAAGGCATGAGGGATGAACTGTGGTGAATGACTGTCATCCCAAAGAGGTAGGTGGAGTGAAACCACATGCTTGGTCAAAAAGCAGCCAGGGTTTCCAGGGAAATGGTTGCTCCTGCCATGAGAAGTTAAATCTGTGTTTTCTGTGTACGCATAGATGCGACCAGTCTGAAGTGCCTTGAGAAATATGTTGCTCTTTCACTGTCTCCACTCAGTGAACAATACCAATGTGTCTCTCAGTGAGGGCTTCTTTTTGCTGATTCTTCATGAGACGAATTCCTGCTGGGAAGTCGGCTGAGACTCAGGAAATGCAGCTCACCACTGAAACACACAAGAAATCAGATTTTTTCAAAGCTGTAAGGTAAGCTTACTAGCAACCCAGTTGATATAAATTTAAGTATTTCTCTACCCTATCAACCTACCTTTAGCATCAATCTTTTTTTAAATGTGGAATTGATATTAAGCTTTACCAGCTTTGAAAATTATTGATTTCTTGTGCTGAGATACTTTTATGTAGTGAGCTGCATTTTCCAGGCCCTGAAACTAGTAATCATATTGTCAAAATGATGGTTTCTGTATCTAGAATATTTGCTATGTATGTTTTATATATGTTAGCAAAATAAAAAATGAACGTAGCCTTGGCCAGTGTTCTCAGTGGTTAGAGCATCAGCCCACACACCAATTGTTGGTCAAAGGTTTCGAGTTCGTCCCCGGCCCAGTCTGGGCACGTGCTGGAGGCAACCAATCAATGTGTCTCTTTCACATTGATGTTTCTCTCTCTGTCTTTCTATCTCTGTCTCTCTCTCCCCCCACACTCCCTCCCTCCCTTCACTCTCTAGAAAACAATGGGAAAAATATCCTCAGGTGAAGATTAACAACAAAAAATAAATGCAAATAAATATACACACATACATGTTCATACACATTCACGTGTACATCTCAGCTATAGGGGGAAGGGATGCCTACCCTAATTTTTATTCTCCTAGACAAAGGCTTTGGACATTGGGGTAAGTGAGAAGGGAGAGAAGAATGTAAAATTTTTTAGTGGTTGAGCGTCAACCTATGAACCAGATGGTAACACACATGCCTAGTTGCAGGCTTGATCCCCAATTGGAGTGTTCAGGAATTAGCCAATCAATTATTCTCTCTCACCATTTCTATCTCTCCTCTCCCTTCCTCTCTCTGAAATTAATAAAAATATATTCTAGATTGGTTCTAGAATGATTTAAAGATAATAATTCCAAAATCTTCTCTTAAAAGTTTTTCAATCAGGTGTTCATATTTCAGTGATTGTTTAATTGGTGTTTTTTTTTTGTTGTTGTTGTAATTTTTATTTATTGATTTGAGAGAGAGAGAGAAAAACATTGATTTTTGTTGTTCTACTCATTTAAGAACTCACTGGTTCACCTTTATATGTGCCCCAAACAGGGTTTGAACCCACAATCTAGGTATATTTCCTGAAAGGGAATCGAACACGCAACCTTTTGGTGTACGAGACAATGCTTCCGCCAACCGAGCCACACAGCCAAGGCTTATTATGTCCATTTTAAAGATGAGGAAACTGAGGCATAGAACAAATTGGTAGCTCTCCCCAAGTCAGTTGTTAAGCCAGGATTTCAATTCACAACAGTCCGACAGGGTCCACACTTAACCACAAAATAGTATGGCCCTGCCATTGTGGCTCAGTGGTTGGGCGTCGACCTATGAACCAGGAGATTTGGTTCATTCCCGGTCAGGGCACATGCCTTGCTTGCCAGCTCGATCCCCAGTGTGGGGCGTGCAGGAGCAGCTGATCAAGTTTTAACTATCTTGTGTTTTTGTGTGTTTTGTGTGTATTTTTTCAAGTTTTTACAATAGAATAGAAAATTTAAACCTGAGTTATCTCATAATTCTCCATATGCTATGAAGAGATTTGGCCTAAATTGAAATGAACTTGAGTATCTTTATCTAATATTAAACTACCTTGCATACTTTGGCACTAAAGAAATGCAAAGCATCACTGTTGTTTGTCATTTCTAGGGGAGGTGACTCCAGGACTAACCCAGGTGGAATATGCACTTCGCAGACACAAATTAATGTCTCTGATCCACAAGGAAGCACACGGGCAGAGTGGGACAGACCAGACAGTGGTTCTGCTATCCAACCCTACGTACTACATGAGCAATGACATCCCCTACACTTTCCACCAAGACAACAACTTCCTGTATCTGTGTGGATTCCAGGAGCCTGACAGCATTCTGGTCCTTCAGAGCCTCCCTGGCAAGCAGCTCCCAGCACACAAGGCCATGCTCTTTGTGCCTCGGAGAGACCGCAGTCGAGAACTTTGGGACGGCCCTCGGTCGGGCACTGATGGAGCCTTAGCTCTAACCGGTGTGGATGAAACCTATACGCTGGACGAATTTCAACATCTGGTTTCAAAACTAAAAGGTAACCAACGGGAGCAGAAGTCAAATGACAGGCCAGATCGGGATTGAGACCTTCCTTACTTATTCAGACACAGTTCTTAATGTCCTGAAATGATTATCCATAGCAGTGATTTCTCTTAAGCACCAAGAAAGGAACATAAATTTTTACCACAAGACTGGTCTACTTGAAAGACTTCATTTATTCATTTGCTAAATCTTACTAGAGTATTCATTCACATAGACTGTTAACTGTCCTGTGTGAAATCCCAAAGAGGGATTTCCTCCGAAGGTGGAGGGTGGGCCTCTTTAAGATTACTGACCAGTCTATTGTCCTTTGATCACTGCTTTTTACTGTTTTTGCCAATTCTTCAAAATGAAGTAGTATTCTCGCCGAAACCGGTTTGGCTCAGCAGTAGAGAGTCGGTCTGCAGACTGAAAGGTCCCGGGTTCGATTCCGGTCAAGGGCATGTAAATTGGTTGTGGGCACATCCCCGTTAGGGGATGTGCAAGAGGCAGCTGGTCGATGTTTCTCTCTCATCGACGTTTCTAGCTCTCTATCTCTCTCCCTTTCTCTCTGTAAAAAAATCAATAAAATATATTTTTAAAAAAAAAATGAAATAGTATTCTCAAAAAAGGATCTAAGCGTCACCAGCATCAAAATCACCTGGTGATGCATATTAGAATTACAGATGCATAGTAGATGTTGGAAATGTAAAATCATAGGCCCCCTTTCATACTGACTAAATCAGAATCTACATTTTAACAAGATTCTTAGGTGATTTACATACACAATTCATACTTCTCAAAATAGTCACTTTCTCTACATTAATTCTAGTGAAATTATGATCACTCAGAATATTTTGGGATTCCTTTTCTGGAACTTTGCAGAACCTATATAACAATATAAACTATCCTTAGAGATGCTTGTAAATCTATAGTTCTGGAAGCATTTTTAAAGTATCCAAAGTCACTTAGAGCCAAATGTGTTAAATAAGATAGATGATCGTGTTGGAAAATACTGGTTTTAGACAAAATAATGCAAGATTGTGAAAAAAAATTTTTTTTAATTATTTTTTTTTTTTAAGAGATAGAAACATCGATGTGAGAGTGAAACATCAATCAGCTGCCTCCTGCATGCCCCTACTGGAGATCAGGTTTGCAAGAGCCCTGACCAGGAATTGAACTGGTGACCTTTCAGTGCATGGGACAGTGCTCAGCCAACAAAGCCACTCTGCCAGGGCAAGGATTGTAAAATTTCAGTCTGATTTTTCTTATTTTTCTTCACTTCTGAAGTCAGTTTGTAAAACAGAATTCCAAAGTAGTTTCCAACAGTCATGGAATTTACGGATTTGTTTCCTACAAAGACTCCCTTGAAAGAAAATACTTGCTTGAATATGCACATCCTAATATGTTTCAATTCTTTCCATTTATAAAATATTTTCTATTTTGTAGAAATGATTACCCAACTAAGCTAGTGGAACTTTCATAATCTTCAAAGTCTTCACGAATGTGGGCATAGAATCTTTTTCTTTGTAGCTATTCTATTTCTTGAAATTACTTTGTCCCTTGCCCTGGCTCAGTTGGTTGAGCATCGTCCTGTCTACCAAAAGATTGCTGGTTTGATTCCCAGTTAGGGCACACGGTGGGCTTGATCCCCAGTAGGTGGCGTGCCAGAGGTAGCCAATCGATGTTTCGCTCTCACCTTGATGTTTCTCTCTTCCTCTCCCTCTCTCTCTAGAAATCAATTTTAAACATTTTTATTAAAACACACAAAACATACAATTCGTTAGGCATAGTTTGAGAATGCAGTTGCTCATTAGCTACTGTCAGAAAAAAAATAAAAGGAAGATATTATAGAATTGCATACCTGAAATCTATAATAATAAAAACATAATATGCTAATTAAACCGGACATCCTTTCAGACAAAGCCAGAGTGGCAGAGGCCCCCAACTGCCACTGTGGATGGGGGCCCCTTGTTTGAATTTCATGCATCGGGCCTAACCATGTCACCCTAATAAATTCTATTTAACAAAAGAAATTTTAAAAAAGAAATGGAGACTTGGTGTAAAAGGAAATCATTTTCATAATGCGCCTACTCTTTTATATCAGACAAATATAGTTAAAAGTTGAATAGTGCTAGTCTATAATGAAAATAGCAGATGGGAAAGAAAAGATTTCCTGGATAAGAGTGGATCAGCACATACTATCAACTGTAGCATTTCTGTAGGCGTGAAGAATTGCTCCTGAGAGAACTTCCTTTTACCGACCCACAGGTTGAGAACGGCTAGCAGAGTCGCCTAAGACCATTGGAAAATACAGATATTTACATTACGATTCATAACAGTAGCAAAATTACAGTTATGAAGTAGCAATGAAAATAATGTTATGGTTGGGGGTCACCACAACATGAGGAGCTGTATGAAAGGGTAGCAACAGTAGAAAGGTTGCGAACCACTGCTTTGGTGCAGCACGTCAAACTTGCGGCTGCGAGTTTGACATGTTTGTGTTAGTTTCATACCATGTTTTATAGTTTTGACTCTTGTTTAAGTCATCATGACAGTTGGTATTTGTTGTTGTTGCTGTTAGTCTTATTTAAAATTGATTTTTTTGGCATCTTACTTTAAGCCGAGACAAATACCCTTTGGTATGACTGGATGAGGCCCGCTCACGCACAGCTTCACTCGGACTATATGCAGCATCTGACTGAGATCAAAACCAAGAGCAAGAACAAGATTCGGGCCGTCCAGCAGCTGGTACAGCGCCTACGGCTGATCAAATCTCCTGCTGAAATTGAACGAATGCAGATTGCTGGAAAGCTGACGTCACAGGTGTGATTCCTACTGCAAAAGCTGTTTCAGATGAAAAATATCTAAGCTCTTAGAGTTCAGGGGGCACTTTGAGGTTGTGTATTTAATGCAGTAATTTCATGGCCGGTGAACATGCAGCTTCAACCTTGACATTGAGGGAACATGTCTGGAGACTTGCTCAGTACCTTGCAAGGCAAAGTAAATCTGCTGCCTTGTATTTTTCACCCATGGTCTCAATTTTTTCTCCTTGGAGCAACATCAATTAATTTTATTTCCTTTCCTGACAATAACGGCAATAATAGTAGCAGTTTGATGGTTAAAAAAGAATCATAGGACCCAAAAGGGCAATGCTTACAAGTCTACAATTAACACGAAAGGGTGCAGTATAGCAACAGCATTAACATAAGAATACCTGTCACATCCAGTGGCTGTCTCACAGCCAGGGACCAAAAAGCCAAGTTCAGGCTCCTGCTGTCCTGTCCGCGCTCAGTAAGAGCTGGACAGGATGCATTTTTCTCTCCTGGATCAGGAACCACAGATGCCTGCATGGAATACCTGGAAACCAGGGAGCCCAAAATGGAATCTCAACTAGAGATTTTTCTGGTTTGGATCGAATTGGTAGATTCCTGCTATGTAACAACAAAGCCTTTTGGAGTTCTGGTGGAAACTTAAGTACAAACCATTAATCTCACTGTCACCAATACTGACAAACTGATGCAAACTGCTCTGAAACTCCTCTCAACACTATTCATCAGTACGTTTCAGGCCTTAACCAGGACCCATTACATACAGGGCCTTGAACAAAACAGGCCTACTAGAATTAACTTCATAGCATTATAGCACACAAACATTTGAAGGCTGTTTTTCTGAGTTCCACCTATAGTCTTCCCAAAGTTAAACATTGTTTTCCTGAACTATTCCCTCATCTGTTTCATTTTACCCCATTTGGTGACTTCCTCAGGAAGTCCTCTAGTTTGTCTAGTACACTGTCCAGTGTTGTAGCTTTGGCTAGACCAACAAAGACAACCTACAACTAATTACGAATGTGAAAAGTATATGTCTTTGTTTTCCGTCAAATCATTGATTTTTAAAATAAGGAAGAGAAGTAGCTAAGAATAGATTGGGATAATGTTTAGGGCTCCAAGAAATTGGTGATCAGTGATCAGATGTCTTTGCATAAGATGTAAAGTCAATTACAAATTTACCTGGGAGTATTCTGATCTGCACTTCTGTTACTTGTCCATGCTGCTAGTGAGAGACTATTTTAAGTGTGCCGAAATTTAGAAGTATTAAATTTGAGGTATTGTCTTTAAGTATTCCCAATTCTGGTGTAGAATTATTCTGTAAGATTTTTTAATATTTGTGCAAAATAGTTTTCTTAAGAATAATGATGCTATATTTGTGTTTTTCAGCCCAAATGAAAGTTTCCTATCTTTTGGGGAATAAGCCAAATATAATTTGTGTCTCTGTAATACGGATCAATTGGATTTGCTTGCAGTCTGATTTGGTTTACTAGGTGTACCAGTTAATAATGTGGATTTTGTAATAAACAAAACATGATAATTTCAAGAGAAACATCAAAAGTACTGTATTCAAAGTAATGTCCATCGCTAGCTACACATTTCCCCCATCTTTAGGTAATTTGTGGATACCATCCCAATAGAACTTTTCTTGTTTTGAGGCAAAACATTCAGAGATCCAATTTTCCACTTCTTCTTATGTTTTGAAGTGCTGCTCAGAAAGTGAGTGTGCCATCGATCAGAGCAAGTGGTCATCTGAAGAAGCAAGGTCTGGTGAATACAGTGGGTGGGTTAATACTTTCCAGGAGAGATCTTTAACTGGCTTTGAAGTGTGCAATGGTGTGTCATCATTAAGCAAAATTACTTTGCCGTGTCTATTGGCACATTCCGGCGGTTTCATGAATGTGCCAATAGATTGATCATTTGTTGTCAGTAGCCATCAGTATTAAAGGTTTCACCTGGTTTTAGAAGCTCATAATACACCACACCTTCCTGATCTCATCAAATAATTTGGTCTTACAGTTGATGTTGATGGTTGACCTGGATCAACCCATGATTTTGTGCGTATGGGATTCTCAAAATAAATCCACTTTTCATCGCCAGTCACAATTTGATGCAAAAAAGACTTTTTTCGTGCCTTTGAAGCAACATTTTACTGGTGACTTTTTAGTTTTCCATTTGTCTTTTGTTCAGTTGATGTGGCTCCAATTTTCCTTCCTTTAAAATCTTTCCCATGGCTTATAAACGATCGGAAATTGCTGAGTAACATTTAATCTTCCTGCAAGTTGTTTTTGAGTATGACATGCATCTTTATCCAATAATGCTTGCAATTGTTGGTCTCCAAACTGTTTTGGATGACCTAGATGTTCTTTGTCTTTCACATCGCAACAATCACTTTTAAGCATATAAACCAGCGTTCAAAAGTATCTTGAGATGGATCACGTCCACCATAAGCTTCCCAAAGTATACAATAACTTTTTTTTCAAAATAAAGTAATGAACTAAAACTTGTCTCAAACGCTCTTTTTTTTTTTTTTTTGGCATGAAATTGGACATTTTTAAACACAAAAGTATCTATGATGTTAACACCTTCAGCAAATTTGACGTGTGAAGTTTTGAAGCTTGCTATCATTACAACAAAATAGCATACATATCAAATCGCATATATATCAACATATGTGTAACTCCATCTATTGAAAGAATCCACATTATTAACCATTATTAACTAGGTACACCTAGTACAATAAGTAAAGGGCCTTGCCATTAGAGTTAAGTAACCTTTTAAGAGAGGAGAATTGGTAGAATGTATGGGCAGAAGTAAAAGCAGGATGAGGCAGACCTATCCAGGCCAGATCTTTCCTATGACTGAACATATATCCTGCCTCCTGGACATTTCTACCTGAATTTCCTGAAATTGTCTAAACTTGTACTCTGCCAGCTCTACCAGACCTGCCTCTTCTCTTGGGAGGCAGAGAATAGTGGAAGGCAGACCTGGGTTTCATACCAAGCTGTGTTATTTCGGCCTGTGCCTAGCACAGTAGGACACCTGATACTCCTTTGCTGTCTCTTTGCTTCGCTGTTGCCTGCATCTAACTCTACCCCAGCCACGATGATCTCTTCAAATCTGAATGCCCTTCTCGTAAAGTTCTTTGGTAGTGCCTTGTTTGTTTGTTGTTGTTTTTTTAAATATATTTTATTGATTTTTTACAGAGAGGAAGGGAGAGATATAGAGAGTTAGAAATGTCGATGAGAGAGAAACAGACCAGCTGCCTCCTGCACACCCCCCACTGGGGACGTGCCCGCAGTCCCCCACTGGGGACGTGCCCACAGACCAGCTGCCTCCTGCACACCCCCCACTGGGGACGTGCCCGCAGCCCTTGACCGGAATCGAACCCGGGACCCTTCAGTCAGAAAACCGATGCTCTACCACTGAGCCAAACCGGTCTCGGAGCCTTGTTGTTTTTAGGATTAAATTTCAACATGCTCACTCAGGGCCTTTCATGATCTGGCCTCTTCCGCCTTTCCCTTCCAGCTTTATATCTTCTTCTCCCACAGGTGCGTGACACATACTGAACAGCCTCAAGTATCACAGGCTCCCTCCTCTCACGTCAGCTGCATGTGGACCTGCACACAGGCCCTCATGCAATCCTTCCTGCTTTTTCTCTCCACTGTCCCTTCCCCGTAAGCTGTACAGTGTCTACTCATGATGTATCCTGGTTATAAGAAGCATGGGATGAAATGCAAAGAAATTCCATTTTATATCAAAATACAAACATTTAAATAGCACCTGGTGAAGTGAGAAGTCAAGTGTTAATTGAGAGTATGGGCTACGCTGTGATAAGACAACCGTAATAAAAAGTGGCAGTCATAAAGTCTGCCCTTGATCTTTATAGGAAAGAGTGTTTTGAACATTTGAGTAAGCAGAGTCGTTAAAATTAGACTTCTTTTCATCCTCCATTCTATTTGCAGGCTTTCATAGAGACCATGTTTGCCAGCAAAGCACCTGTGGATGAGAGCTTTCTTTATGCTAAGGTGAGCTTTAAATGTTTGGGAGGCATGCGTAAAGTAATGTCATTGGTTTGCAGGTGGCATCTGGTTGGCTTTTATGCAAGTGGCCAGGAGAGGATTTGGTTCTTAAATGTGACTAGTAATTTATTAGATGAGTCTAAAATATGTGGAGCAACAGTTAAACGAAGAAAATCCGCAGAGTAGAGCTATTGAAGAAGAAGGGGTTTACAAAAATGTGAGATGAGAAGGTTAGTACTGTTTAAGTCAATGTAAAGGGAGAGACTGAGGTCGAGCTGTAGATAGTAACACGTGATTGCCAGTCTCAAGCTCCATCCTAGGACATAATGAAATTCATAGAGTTTACCATTTGCCTAGCATATTTTTAAAAAATATTTTATTGATTTTTTTACAGAGAGGAAGAGAGAGGGATAGAGAGTTAGAAACATCGATGAGAGAAACATTGATCAGCTGCCTCTTGCACACCCCCCACTGGGGATGTTCCCACAGCCAAGGTACATGCCCTTGACCGGAATCGAACCCGGGACCTTTCAGTCCGCAGGCTGACGCTATATCCACTGAGCCAAACCAATCTTGGCCTAGCATATTTTTATTTTCCAGAGCTTGTAGGTCAGTAGCTATTTGACATTAGTCATTTAGAGCTGTTGTTAAAAATGCAAGCCATATTCCAGTGTTTATCTAAATAAGAATCAACAAACAATAATTTTACATAACTGTTATCTTTTTGTTCTCCCTTGATCATAGGTTTTCTGTGTCCTCTCTGGACTTAATTTGAAAATCAGAAATTTAGAGTACTCACAAGAAAAGAACAGATTTAGTCATAGGATTGAATAACAGGCCTGGGTGAGACTAAAAGTGGCCTGAAATTAAGCATGAAGTTTTGTGAGTATGTTGAATAGTTTTCAGTAGTAACTTAAATGGAGATGTGTGCTGTTGAGAGCCTGGGCCGGGACAGCCCTAAAGAAATCCTTTCTTCAGTCACTCTTACAATCACACTTTGCTGTGTGTTTTTTCAGTTTGAATTTGAATGCCGAGCCCGGGGAGCAGAAATCTTAGCCTACCCACCCGTGGTTGCTGGCGGTAATCGGTCCAACACGTTGCACTATGTGAAGAACAATCAGCTCATCAAGGTACAGTACTACCCATCGGCCCTGCTTCCTCTGGGTCCAGATGCCCTCGGACAGTGGTCGGCAGACTCATTAGACTCATTAGTCAACAAAGCCAAATAGCAACAGCACAAAGATTGAAATTTCTTTGGAGAGCCACATTTTTTAAATTTAAACTTCTAACTCCACTTCTTCAAAATAGACTCTCCCAGGCCGTGGTATTTTGTGGAAGAGCCACACTCAAGGGGCCAAAGAGCCGCATGTGGCTCACGAGCCGCGATTTGCCAACCACGGCCCTAGTAGGAAACTCGCTAGCTTTGGGGTCCCCTAATTTTCAGCTTTAACAAAAGGCTTTTACAGACGTTATCTCATTTGATCCTCACGTTAACACTATGAGATAGGAGCAGTTATGAACATGCCTGTTTAATAGGCGAGGAAAATAAACTTTTAAAAATTATGCTATTAGTAGTGCAGAGGTAAGTATTCTACCTAAAGCCTCTGCTCATTTTCTTTCTTTTCTTTTTTTTTAATAAGTAATGTTTATTTTTTTATTTTTTTTATTTATTTATTTTTTAAAATTTAACTTTGTATGTATTTTTTTAAATATATTTTATTGATTTTTTACAGAGAGGAGGAGAGAGGGATAGAGAGCCAGAAACGTCGATGAGAGAGAAACATCGACCAGCTGCCTCTTGCCCACAACCAATGTACATGCCCTTGACCGGAATCAAAGCTGGGACCTTTCAGTCCGCAGACCGACGCTCTACCACTGAGCCAAACCGGTTTCAGCTCATTTTCTTTTGTAGCACTCTTCCCTTAAGGACTGGTAGCTGCAGTGGATAAGCATATGGGAGCAGACAGACTTTTTTTCTTGTTTTTATTGTCTAGGAGAGGAGAGGAGAGGGCGAGAGATATAGAAACATTGATGAGAGAGAAATATCAACATGGATTGACTGCCCTCACTGGGGATTGAGCCCACAATCTGTGCTTGTGCCCTCACCCAGAATGGAATCTAGTGCATGGATCGATGCTCAACCACTGAGCAACACTGGCCAGGCAGATTTTAAGAATGAATACTGCCAAAACCGGTTTGGCTCAGTGGATAGAGCATCGGCCTGCGGACTGAAGGGTCCCAGGTTTGATTCTGGTCAAGGGCATGTACCTTGGTTTCAGGCACATCCTCAGTAGGAGTATATAAAAGCATAAGCCACTGGCTGATATGCTGACCGTTCGGTACCTATGATGTCCACTGACCACCAGGGGGAAGATGCTCAACACAGGAGCTGCTGAGCTGCCATGACTTGGCACTGCGGTTCTTAGGTAACACACCTGGAACCAGAGAGGAGGGAGCCCAATTCCAGGACCCCTCAGGGGATGTGGGAGAGCCGGTTTTGGCCCAATCCCGACAGGCCAGGCTGAGAAACCCCACCTGTGCATGAATCCATGCTCCAGGCCTCGTGTGTGTGTGTGTGTGTGTGTGTGTGTGTGTGTGTGTGTAGATATAAATATAAATATAAATAAATAAAGATACACACACACACATACATACATACATGAAAGGCACAAAGGGTTTAAGTTAAAAGAAGAAATAACTGACAATCCAGGGGTCACCGACTTTGACCTATTTTGCTTTTTTCCAGGACGGGGAAATGGTGCTGCTGGATGGAGGTTGTGAATCTTCTTGCTATGTGAGTGACATCACCCGTACCTGGCCTGTCAATGGCAGGTACGTCTTCTGCAGATCCCACTGCTTCTCTGGAGTGTGGTCATAGTGGAGTAAATGGCTAATGAGGTAGACAGCTCCACTTTAGCTCAGGTTAACTGCCTTGGCAAAGCTCCTGATTTTTTCTTTTTAATATTTTTTTACTGATTTCAGAAAGGAAGGGAGAGGGAAAGAGAGACAGAAACAATGATGAGGAAGAATCTTTGAACGTTGCCTCCTGTAGACCCCACCCTGGGACCAACCCTGCAACCTGGGCATGTGCCCTGATTGGGAATTGAAACGTGACCTCCTGGTTCATAGATTGACGCTCAACCCCTGAGCTACGCCAGCCGGGTACTCCTGATTATTTAAGACTGTTTAGTCATCATCACAGGATCAGGCACCTAGAAACACCTAGTTAACATTCACACACACACATATATGTGCACATACATATATGTGCATATATATATGTATGTAGGTTGGTAGGTAGATTGATTTTTTTTTTTAAATATATTTTATTGATTTTTTACAGAGAGGAAGGGAGAGAGATAGAGAGCTAGAAACGTCGATGAGAGAGTAACATCGACCAGCCGCCTCTTGCACACCCCCTACTGGGGATGTGACCGCAACCAATGTACATGCCCTTGACCGGAATCGAACCCGGGACCTTTTAGTCTGCAGACCGACGCTCTACCACTGAGCCAAACCGGTTTCGGCTAATTATTTTTGATTGATGCATTTAAGGAATTGACTCACGCATTTGTAGGGCTGGCTGGAAACTCATGCAAAAGTTGATGTTGTAGTCTTGAGGCTAGAATTCTTTCTCCAGTACACTAGGCAGTTCTGGCATTTGAATTCATTTATTATAGGATACTTTATGGCACATGTTTTAGCCAACCAACCAAGTTAACTGTTGGCACCTTTTTGAACCCTTGAGCTATAACATTGAATCCAGAATCTCTGCTTTGTGGATAGACACTGAGTGGCCAGATTGTTATGATCCCTGAATGCATAATCTGGCTACTCAGTGTGTGTGTGTGTGTGTGTGTGTGTGTGTGTGTGTGTGTGTGTATTAGAGGCCCAATGCATGAATTTGTGCATGGGTAGGTCTGGCCAGCCTGGCCAGGGGGAGGGGTCATGAGCTGTTGACTGGCCTGCCTGCTGGTTGAACTCCTGGTCAAGGGGACAATTTGCATATTAGCCATTTATTATATAGAATATATACTGAGTGGCCAGATTATTATGCATTCAGAGATCATCATAATCTGGCCATTCAGTGTATATCAATAAATTCAGCCTGATCCAACTTTGTGTTCCTTCCAATTATCCCACACATTACTATCCATTTCCACACATATTCTCAGATTTTTATTTATTTAAGTAGGAAAAATCATGCAGTTCTCTTTGGATTATCATGCACTTCCTTGTGGGTCACATTTTGTGCCTAACCTTCTGGGGCCTGCAGGAGTACAATCTAGTTAAAAGTCCAGAGGCAACTACCTAAGGGGAGAACCTGTAGTTTCTCAGTCCAAACTAGATCAGTCTCAGATGGTGGCAGAAGGGCTGCTTCTGCCAGCAAACAAGACTTAACAGAATTTAGGGTCAGTGTCCCTAGCTTTCATCAGGATCGTTCAGATTTGTGCCTTCCAGTGTATGTAAAATTTACGTTGAAAAAAGCTTTAAAGATATCTACTAGTACTGAGGTGTCATGGAGTATGGATATAAACATAATGTTGATAAATTTGAACCTGGGAGTTGGGTATGTAAGTGTTCATTATAGCATTATATTTAATATATTTTATTGATTTTCCACAGAGAGGAAGGAAGAGGGATAAGAGCTAGAAAAGTTGATGAGAGAGAAACATCAACCAGCCGCCTCCTGCACACCCCTTACTGGGGATGTGCCCGCAACCAATGTACATGCCCTTGACCTGAAATGAACCTGGGACCCTTCAGTCCACAGACTGATGCTCTATCCACTGAGCCAAACCGGTTTCGGGAGTATAGCATTATATTTTTATTCTTAAATATTAGCAGACGTTTAAATTGTATCTATTCTATATAATAAAAGGGCAATATGCAAATCAACAAAATGGCAGAATGACTGGTTGCTATGATGTTAGAAACATCGATGAGAGAGAAACATGGATCAGCTGCTTCTTGCACACCCCCCACGGGGGATGTGCCCGCAACCAAGGTACATGCCCTTGACCGGAATCGAACCTGGGACCCTTCAGTCCGCAGGCTGATGCTCTATCCACTGAGCCAAACCGGTTTCGGCTATTTACTCCTTTTGATTGGTTGCAGGCAGCAGCCCTGAAAGTTCATGCACGCGCTGGCTGCGTGGTGGCTGGTGTTCAGCTCATGGACCCTGGGGCTGATTGAGAGCTCTAGCATTCATCCAAATATGAGCGGTCTTCGTTAGTTGGCACGAAGCTGTTAACTGGTTAACTCCTCCTGCCCCTTCCTCTCACCCTCCCACTGCTGTAATTTGATTTATAACATCTCAGAATTATTTTCTTGTCACAATCTTCCTGCAACATCAGTCAGTTCCAGATTTGCGATCTTTGGTTTTCCTGTCCCCAGGTTTACGGCACCTCAAGCAGAACTGTACGAAGCCGTCCTAGAGATCCAGAGGGATTGTCTGACCCTCTGCTCCCCCGGAACAAGCCTGGAAAACATCTACAGCATAATGCTGACCCTGATAGGGCAGAAGCTCAAAGAGCTGGGGTTCCTGAAGAACATGAAGGAAAATAACCCCTTGAGGGTACCGCACTTCTTTTGACTCACTTCTCAAGAACACCTTGCACGCTGCTCTGTTTTTATGTAAAGCGAGTTAGATTTAGAAACGGTCTTTAGGATCCTTCATCTAAAAAAGGGATTTATTGTACATTGAACCGGGATTACAACAAAGGGAGTCAGTACTTATTTCTCCCAGAAGGTGGCAGCACATTCTGGTTCATTGCTTACTGCGTAGTGCGGGACTGGCTCAGCCGTCAGAAGACATAAAATGAAGTCTGGTGCAGAGGGTGGAAAAGAACACAAAAAGGACGAGAGGTTAACCTGGATTCTTCTGGGGCAATTTTGAAAAGTCAGAGGTCGAAGGGGAGGGTGTTTGTTGCTTCAGTGACACTGTTGAGACTTGAACAGTATCCTCAGGGGCTTGTCTTTAGTGAATTTCATCTGCATCCAAATGTAATGGAATTCAGTAAAACTGTAAAGCCTCGGCTTTTTTCTTTTTTTTAATATATTTTTATTAATTTTTTACAGAGAGGAAGGGAGAGAGAGGGAGAGCTAGAAAGGTCGATGAGAGAGAAACATCGACCAGCTGCCTCTTGCACACCTCCTACCAGAGATGTGCCTGCAAACCAACATACATGTCCCTGACCGGAATCGAACCCGGGACTTTTCAGTCCGCAGACCGACGCTCTACCACTGAGCCAAACCAGTTTCGGCAAACCTCGGCTTTAAGTTAAAATGCCGGGTGGTCAAGCCAAACAGACTATTAAAGCATCTCCCCTCTCCAAGGTTAGGCTGTCAGGCTGCTTTTATCGATAGGAAATAAGCTATAAATTCCTCCTGCTCAGGCCAGCAAATCTCTAATTAATGGATAGCAACATCCAGGCCAGGAAATGCCTAGTAATTGCAGTGTTATTGCTGTTTCAGCTGCTCCACAAGTTGCTGTGAGATATTGGGGTCTCCAGAGTAGACTTCCTGAGAGGGATGTATGAACGTTGAAAAGAGAACTATTCTAACATAATCGCCCTCTTTCAAGAAAAGAGATTTTCATTAGGCACAGTCGTTACTGGGCTTACCCAAGTCGGCATGCACGTAGTATATTAAATACTGAGAATGGACATTGGATTAGTTATGATGCAGCGGCAGAATTTCATCCGAGAGGTGGCAGGGATCAGGTCTCTCCGTCAGTGGCCTAGGGACAGATTAAACACGTGGCAGAAGCATGGGGAGCTGGTAACACCTGCCTCACTGTCTTACATGCCCGACTTGCCCTCAGGGACCATTGCTCTGACAATGCTGTGGCAATCCCCTTTTCCAGGCTGCTCGAAAATACTGCCCGCACCACGTGGGCCACTACCTGGGGATGGACGTCCATGACACTCCGGACATGCCCCGCTCCCTCCCTCTGCAGCCCGGCATGGTGATCACAGTGGAGCCAGGTAAGGGGACGGAGCATTAGCAGCCCCTCGGGACACGTAATAGTGTCAGGTGGGAAGGGAAGCACCATGATGAGGGGCAAGACTGCTATGGCAGGAGTCTGTTTTTGTAATGAAAACAGATCTCATTCTTAGATGTCAAGTGTTTTTATCTCTAAATTAAGTAATTCTAGCTGGGACACGTCTTTCATACCACCCTTTGAATCCAGGTAAACGTTACTCTCTGGCCTCATACCACTTAGTCCAGTCCAGTCAGTATGTGGGTGCCTCCTTAGACTTTGACTACAAATTCTTTTCTTTTTATCACAGACCAGAAGGTGAATCTGTCTGACTTCATGATTAGAGAGGGTATCTTGAGCTCTTAGAATTTTCCAAATGTTTATTAAAGTCTTTTTATTTTATTTTATTTTTTTACTTTATATTTATGGCTTATTGAGAGGGCTTAATTGAGTATTTCTACAGCTTCTGGTTGTTCAGGCTAATCTAAATAAGAGATATTTAAATACGTTTTCAGATATCTTATGTCTTTATTTTAACAAAGTTCCCTTTTTCCAGGGGACTATTAGGGACTATTAGGCAAAGAAAGAATACATTTATATAATCTACTGGTTCCCAGCATGTGCCGACATACTCACAGTTTAAGTAACTTTAGTGGCCTGCTTGAGCCACTAGAATATGACAGAATCATGATCAGCATTACCATATGGAGCCTGTAGTCCTGTATAATAAAAGGGTAATATATAAATAGACCAAATGGCAGAACAGCCGATCAAAGTATAATATGCTAATGATATGCTAAGGCTGCTCAGCCATTCGCTATGACATGCACTGACCACCAGGGGGCAGACAGTTGACTGGTTGACCAGTCACTATGGCGTGCACTGACCACCAGGAGCAGATGCTCTGATGGGTAGGTTAGCTTGCTACTGGGTTCCAGTCGATCGGGACTAAGTGAGATGGCCCAGACACGCTCTGGAGTCCCTCCCCGGCCCCATCTTGCACCGGTGGGGTCCCTCAGCCTGGCCTGCTTCCTCTCACAATCCAGGACCCCAGAGAGCCGGTTTCAGCCCGATCCCGCAGGCCACTCCCCATGGGAGGATGCCAGGCGCAGGGCTCAGGGCTGGCAAGGGACTAATTGGGCACCAGCCCGTGGTAGGCAGTGTGGGGCCGGGATGAGTGGGAGCTGCAGGTGGCATTGGACTGTGGGTTTCAGCCTGAGCCTTGCAGCCACCCAGAGGGACCCCACCCGTGCATTGGGCCTCTAGTACAAAATAACCATAATAATAGTAATAATAATGATAGTCAACTTTTATTGACCATTATACTAGACACTTTCATCTGTATTATCTCATGTAATCTCCAGACTCTAGGTGGATACTGTTAAGATCCTAGCTTTATAGGTGGACTGTAACAGAGAGGTTAACTTACCTGCCCCAAATCATCCAGTTACTGCCATTTGTGAACAGCACATTCTTTCTCCTGCTTCTCAGGCATTTATATCCCAGAGGATGACAGACATGCCCCAGAGAAGTTCCGTGGTCTTGGTGTGCGGATCGAGGATGACGTAGTGGTGACGCAGGACTCACCTCTCGTCCTTTCCGCAGATTGCCCCAAAGAGATCAGCGACATCGAGCAGATCTGCAGCAGGGCCTCTTGACCCTCATTGCAGCCCACGTGCGCCTCAAGTTCAAGGGTGTGCACGGGCACCTGTGCACCTGCGCTTTCTGAGTGCTGTCTGTGGGGGTGCGTTTATGTGTGAGTTTCACTTGGGAGTGTGGGGCCTGTGTGAATGTATGTGATTGTGTGTGTGGTCTTTTCTTTGTTTTAAGTAACTAGAAACCTAGAAAATTGATTTTTTTGGACTGTATGTTACTGCAACTTTAGTTACATTATTTTATAGAATTAATGGCCCAGACGAGTTTAACTTTTAAACAGAAAGGTAGATCTTGGTTACACATGTTCATGCATTCCGGTTAACACATATAAATGTACAGAACTCTCTCCTCTCCGGGTCTTTTCCTTGCAGCGCTTTTGCTCAGATCCAGTTTATATCATAAGATACCTGTGTGATGCTCATATTACACTAAAAACCAGTGATTGTGTGAGGCAGCCCACGTAAGCCTTCCATGCTGGTGCCGACCTACTCCGGAGCCTGCACAACTCCCGGAGCCTCGTGGGCACTGGGCCCCGCAGCCTACCCTTCAGCCACCCTCCCAGCAACAGTGTATCAGCTCTGAGCCTTTCTGCTACTTGGTTGCCTAGGGCCTGGAAAGTATTGAGATTCTTGATAAGGAAGGGCATGGAAGAGAAAGAAAAGTATATGTGCATCTGCTCCAGATCCAGCCCTCCAGCCCTCTGTTCTCAGTCTAAAGACGAATCCTGTCCTCCACACCCACGCTTCCTGTGGAGACTCAGTGCACTGCTCCTCATAGCACGTCCTTGAAGCTGCTGCCCTGGCCGAGGGCAGGTCCCCTGCTTCCCCAGTTAAAATGGGCACCCAGTTTGCAGAGAGCTCCCCTTGTTATCGGTGTGTGTTTCTTCCAGTGCTAACAGAACCGAAACGCGCCTGGGCCACCAAGTGCCAAGGTCCTTTTCTCTCTCTGATGTTAGCACTGGAAGCGGTCTATTTCTCTCAGCCTCGCACTGGACACGATTGTGCAGGGACTCGGTGTACAAGTTTGCAGAGCGAACGGCTAGATGATTGCCGATGGTTCACTTGGGACCTTCTGTCAAAAAGGGGAGTTTTTAAGAACTAGTCTGTCCCCCTCTTAAAGTTGGGTATGAGCCCAAGACGTATAAAACATGCTGATTGTTGAAGTATAAATTTGAGGGTTTTTAAGAAAATGTTTGTATTAGCAAAGCACAGGCTCAGGGATTACCACTCCCTGCGGTGATCCAGGCTTGCCTGTCTTATGCCATGGTGCAGAGCTCAAAGCAGGCAGAGAGAGGCTTCATCAGGAGACAAAGATGATAAAATAAAACCGAAGTGATGGAGACCGTGTCCTGACAGCATCATCCTCAGAGCTAGCTTTGCTCACCGTGTCTCAGCAGCTGTGGGAAGGGATGGCTGCACAGCTGGAGTCATCATCCGTGCCTGCCTTCCCTCCAGCCTCTCAGTCCTGTAATCATTTCCCAAAGGAAGTGAACTTCAAGTGAATCCGCAGCTTGGCCTCTGTGGCCCTCACGGCCCTTGGGTTGTTTTTTTGTTTGTTTATTTACCATCTTGAAAGGTCTTTTTATTCCTATAAGTCCTTTTCTGTGGTCTTCACCGTTTTAGCTAACTACTGAGGCAGCTGTTATGTGCAGCAGCGTACTTGGACATGAAACAGTCCTTCCAGTTAGATTCCAGGGAAACTGCAGATGTTGTGAGTAGTTAGAACGGCTGTTGTGGAATCCCTGATCCAAGAGTATTGTCCTTTGAGTCCCAGTTTAACCACCACAGCTAAACATTTGATTCAGGGTATTGGAACGATCACGCGATGACATAGTGAACATCTGAGAGCAGTGTCTTACGGGCTGCCAGACAGACCCAGGATCTGTGAGCAGATAACCGTGCACAGTGCAGGGACTTCATCCATTCTTCGCCACACCACAGACACACCCCACATTTCCCTTCATGAAGCATAATAAATACTTAATATATATACCAGGCTCTCTCCTACAATGAAACCCTTAATTTTAAAAAATCTTTCAGTCCTAGCCAGTTTGGGTCAGTGGATAGAGCATCGACCTGCGGACTGAAGGGTCCCAGGTTCGATTCCGGTCAAGGGCACCTGCCAGGTTGCGGGCTTGATCCCCAGTAAGAGGTGTACAGGAGGCAGCCAATCAGTGATTCTCTCTCATCATTGATGTGTCTATCTCTCCCTCTCTGAAATCAATAAAAATATAACAAAACAAAAAATCTTTTAAATGTTCCACTGGGATTTTTCTCCCTGAACTGAATAGATGAGATTGGATCCTTAACAATACCATCTAAATGAAGGAGGCATATCTAGTTCTCTCTGCCGCATACTTTGTTGTTTTTTATTAATCCTCACCTCGGTTCTCAGAGTGGGAGAGAAGGGGGGGAGAGAGAGAAAGAGAAACATTGATGTGAGAGAGACACAATGATCAGTTGTCTCCTGCACACACCTTGACCTGGACTGCCCGGGTCCTGGTCTGCAACCTAGGTATATGCCCTTAACTGGGAATTGAACCCAGACCCTTCTGTACCCAGACCAACACTCCAACCCTGAGCCAAACCGGCCAGAGCTGCCGCATACTTTTATGTGTTTATTTCAGGAATTAACTATTTCCCCCCATAATCAGGAAATGGACTGAGGAGTAAGAATTCACCCTATTCATAGTCATAACATCCAAGTTAGGAAGCTACTTCGGATGGTGACTCCAAATTCTTGGTGTGAGTCTTCTTTCAAAACATAATTTTCTTATTGATTTTTATAAGGTTGGAAAGAGAAAACTAACTAACAGACATATCTTAATTGAGATTAAGATCCATGAAACAGTCTTGCTGGGTGGTGGCTCAGTTAGTTGGAATGTCATCCCATACATCAAAAAAAAATAGGGTTGCAGCCTAAACCGGTTTGGCTCAGTGGTAGAGTGTCGATCTGCGGGCTGAAAGGTCGATTTCGGTAGGGGATGTGCAAGAGGCAGCTGGTCGAATTTTCTCTCTCATCGATGTTTCTAGCTCTCTATCCCTCTCTCCTCCTCTCTGTAAAAAATCAATAAAATATATTTTTTTAAAAATAGGGTTGCAGTTCCATTCTCAGTCAAGACACATACCTAAGTTGCAAGTTGATCCCCAATCAGGGCATGTACAGGAGGCAATTGGTCTATGTTTCTCTCCTCAAATCAATAAAAACATCTTGGGTGAAAAAGTCCATGAAATAAATTCTCAGATAAAGACATTATAACTAATTAAATAGAAATATTGAGTTAATTTTTTAAAATTTATGTAACCAATGCCCTCTTAAGCTTTCTTAGTAAATTACAAATATGGCGCATGAGATCTGCTTCTCCCTCTCCTGTACCCATGCCAGAGGTAAGCATAGTGACTGTCCCATCGGCCCATGTATGACCTCAGTCCTTTGTAGCACAGTTTCCAACAGTTGCTACCAATAAAACCATCGGAGTAAGACCCTCTGCCACCTCCCCCCCCCGCCACTGGCATATAATAGATGATGGTGTGACGTGTGTGTGTGTGTGTGTGTGTGTATTGGAAACTGAATGACAATGTGACTGTGTGTATGTATTGGCCCAGGATTGTGCATGGACGAGGTTTTATGGTTTGGTTAATTTTTTAAATTTAAGTTGTTAGGGTTAAGTTTTAAGCCTGGGCAAATATACTTCAAGGTAAAGTGTTTTATGCCCTTAATAAAATGAGGAAGTGAATACCTCATGAAACCCTATCATTACAGCAGAATTCCATTGTCACAAAGCTTCTGGGTTCTGGCTGCTCTTCTGACCTGGACCTCTGTGTCACAGAGGAGCTTGGGGGATGTTTGGATCAGGAGTCCCCATGAACTCGAGGCCTCTCGGGTGTGCTCATGAAGATCTAAGAGAACTGTAGTCTTTGTGAGCATTTCTTAATGCTTTGTATGACTTTTGTGCAATTATATAAATTCAATTTGGATAAAACGCTGTTACTTTTAAGGTCCTTTACATTGAAAATAGTTATCTCATTCCCCATCAAGGGGAAAGTACTTGTTACTGCCATTTAAAAAATAAATCATAAAACTGTATGGCACATGTGTGTTACTTTCAAATCTAGAGCTTACTGCTTTAACTTTGAGAATATTCTTACTTACAAAGTATTTTATTTTACAGAGTGTTCATTAACTGCCGTCACAAAATCATGATAGCGCCCGGCCGGTATGGCTCAGTGGTTGAGCATCAACCTGTGAACCAGGAGGTCACGGTTTGATTCCCAGTCAGGGCACATGCCTGGGTTGTGGGCTCCATTCCCAGAGTGGGGCATGCAGGAGACAGCCGATCAATGATTCATCCTTGATTTTTCTCTCTTTCTCCCTCTCCCTATCTTTCTGAAATCAGTAAAAATATATTTTTTAAAAATCATTACAAAACAGTGAGGATCACGATGTCATAACAGTTACAGGGATGACACGGAGGAAGCATGGGCTGCATTTGTGAAGGGAGTTGAGCTCATTGGTCAGAGAAGACACCCTTTGAGTTTTATAATGAAATTGCCCACACATTATAGCACTTTCATTTACATTATTGTCTCACTTACGCTTATGTTGAGTCTGTGAGCCACGTCACTAACCTCATTGTACATGTGAGGAAAATAGACTCCCTGAGCATGCAACTCACCCAACGTCATATCGTGATTAGATCTGGATGGAATTCAGCTTCTTGAATTTGAAACTGATTTGTAAACCTAACACCCACTGAACTCTCATTAAGTCATCAGAGTGCATTATCTCATTTAATCTCTGCAGCAACAATTTTTATCACTCATTTGTTTATTTTTAAACTTATTTTTATTGATTTCAGAGAGGAATGGAGAGAGAGAGAGAGAGAGAGAGAGAGAGAGAGAGAGAGAGAGAGAGAGAGAGAGAAACATCAATGATAAGAGAACCATTGATCAGGCATGTGCCCTGACTGGGAATCGAACCATGACCACCTAGTTCATAGGTT